TTTTGTTTTGTTTTTTTAAATGAAATAAAGCAGATTATTACGCCTTAAATGCTCCCAGACTTAGCACCAGGGCGGTGACAGGGATGCTGTATGAGAGCTAGTAGTTCCAGTGCTCTATTTATCTTAGCACACCATTATTCCTTATGAAGATTACATAAATGAGTAACAGGAGCAAGCATATCATTAGTGCTATTTAAGCAACCAGGCAGGATTCCTGCCCTTTTGAAATCCTTCTCCTGTCATTATGTCTTGGACCAAACGACAAGACGGAGCCTGCACAGAACACTTGCAGAATGATTCATTCTGGAGAGCATGGTTGGGAACTTATCTTTTAATGCCTACCTTGAACTGATTGTATAATTTTTTGTTTTCTGAGCATTTTTGTTATTTGATTATATGATTGTTAAAAAGCAAATATGAAAATGAGCCAACAATTAAATTGCAAAAGTAACTTCATCCTCTTCATATCCTTCTGTTAGGTTTTAAGGCCTAATATTCTAGCAGCAGATTCAAGAAGATAAAAAATAGTAATTTGTCTTTCCATTCTTTTATATCAACTTGTAGTTTTAATGAGGGCAAGGGCCATTTTAAACTCAGCACTGAACAAATAACTAAATGGTTCATTTTTCAGTTTAGAGAAACTGATAAAGAATTAAAGTTCCTGTAAGTTTCTAAATGAGAGCTTAAGGAAAAAAAAATAGTTGCATAAACAAGAATTGTGTATGTCTATTTTGCAAACTTGGCTTTCTGATAGTGCAGAGCATACATCAGGAAGCAGTTAATGAGAGGAATTTTCCTTCTTGCCATCTTCTGCTAACGTAGTTTTCCCTTTTTAGCCTAGCCTCTCAAAAAAAACTAATCCAGTTTATGATTAAAAACCTCCAAACAACTCAACTTCTGACAGATTAAATGAGGTGTCAGGAGTAAACAGAGGTTGTGTGGTCCGTATAAAACATAAAAGATCTCAAATGAAAACATGCTAACTTACCAATATATTCCAAATTCTCTATACACATACAGATATCTAAACGCTTATAATCATATAACCTTAAAGGTCATTTAGTCCAACTGCCCTGCAATGATCAGAAATACCTACAGCTCGATCAGGTTGCTCAGAGCCCTGTCCAACCTGACCTTGGATGTCTTGAGGGATGGGGCATCATCTACCACCTCTCTGGGCAACCTGTTCCAGTGTCTCCCAACCCTTTCTGTAAAAAAAACTTCTTCCTTATGTCCAATCTAAATCTCCCTGCTTTTAGTTTGAAACCATTTCCCCTTGTCCTATCCCAGAAGACACTGCTAAATAGTCTGTCCCCTTCTTTTGTATACCCCCCTTAAGATGCTGCTATCCATGCCTTGATGTTATCAAGGCTTGAATTCAGCTGTAAATTTTAGCTGCGTAGTTTTAAAAAGGGAACAAAATCAAACAAAACTAGACAATCCAAACTAAACTGGAAGTTTTGTAAAAATCCATCTATTTTTTTCTGAGAATCAGTAAATAACATGGGTATGTTACTAAATCTGTGATAGCTGAAGTATTTTTTTTTCTTTGAAAGTCCTGTCAGCAGATGGCAACATTTAGAAAGCATGAACGTTTCCTTTATTCAAATGCTCCTCAAAATCCACTTGTTTAGAGGCTCTTTTATGCACATGCGGTGTTAAATGAGGCATCTGGATAACATTACTGTGTGATTCTCTTTCTCTTTTTGATCACTTGTATCACCATACAAGTTTAGGCTTCGCTGCTCTTGCAGACTCAGTGGGACTGTGATACCATCTGGATCATCCGTTCTTGTAGAGTGACATGAAAAAGCAGTACAGTTTCTACATCATTTCTTTCTTCATCCTTCTAATAATCACTCATTTAATATTCCTTTCTAAAAGTGTGTATGTGTCTCAGTAGTATTATCTCTGACAAACATCTTAATAGAGTTGGTGACCTTAAGTTTCCACTTGGGCAGGGATCTTCAGGTGACTTTACTTTGTTCCACACCCAGTTAAAAGTACCTCTGACAAACCATCACTTACTCAGAGTGATGGTTCTTACTCACATTGGCAAGTTGCATCAAGATCACCAGTTGTTGTGGAAGTGACTTTTACAAAAATCAGTTATTTTTCTTTCAGTTGTTTGTTGTTTCTATCAGTTTACTCATCTAGCTTTGGTTTTGCTTGAAGCAAACACGGATTTTCCTTTACTCCTTTCAAAATTTAAAATTAAAAACTACACTGAAAGACATTGTTGCCAATGTGTAGTAGACTGACAAGACTCGCAGTCCAAGGATGTGGCTAAGTCTATGAAAGACTGCCACGACAAAGATTACTTTATGTTCCCTGTCCCCAAAATGCAGCTGAAAGGAAACTGGGTCAGCATTTGATAAGGAGGGGATTTATTATTTACTATTCCTTTTTTTCCCACCAGTAGAAAGTTTTGTGATGTAATTGCAGTTTATACCTTGCCTACAGAGTGATCCACGTTGGAGAAATCTTCTGATGAAGTTAAATAATCAAAACACTTTAAATAAATACCCATTTTACTGTAAAGCTGAGAAAATCAAGCTGGTGTGCTTTATCAATTCTACTCTTCCTAATATATATAGTACTGTCATATATCAGTGTATATATCAGTGTATCAGGTATGTATCAGTACTGTCAGTACTGATGTGTATCATATTGCTCCTGTGACACCTCACCTACCACCTACCATATTGCCATTATAATTCAAGTAATTCAACCCTAGGGGTGATATTGCAAATACTTGTTGTTCAAGTTTTGGTTTTGCAAAACAAGTCCCTATTGATTCCAATTTTCAGTCGAGTATTTATAAGCAGTAGTGATATGCATCATCATCCACGTTCACTGTTAGGATTAGTAGATAAGAAAGAATAGGTTACTTTCAGAGATCTGATTCTTCATCACCATCAGGTCACTTGAAAAGGATCAAAAGTGTGGTTTTCCTATCTAATAGATGTTTGAAGAGAATAATTTATCATGAGGCAGGCTCTCCTGATTTGCAAAAACAGAAAACCTACATTGCAATCCCAAAATGCAATTTAACTAACTCCACCCCAGCAGTGTAAGATTTGCTCCTGGAAGAGTCAGGGACAATGTTCTCATGCTATAAAATCACTGCCTTGCAAAGCAAGTGATGGTTTTTTTCCTCATGCTTTCACAAACCTACTTCTAATTCAGTCTGTCACAATAATGTGATTGGCTTCAAGCTTTCTTTTCAGACTACATCTTCTCTGTGTGTGACCATAGCAGTGAAGTGACAAAATGATATCTGCAAGGAGCGCTACGGCACTTGACTAGAAATCTCAGATATCAGTGACCGCTGTAACCAAGCTCAAGACTGAAAAACAAAACAAAACAAAACAAAACAAACAAAAAAAACCAACACAGAGGTAACTATGGAAATATACCAAGACCTATTGGGCTTACAAGTCAAAAGAAAGAGCCTCACACATGTGATTTTGACCTGTCCAGCTGGCAGCTCAATCTGAAACACTGTTTTTGTATTTCATGGAGCTGAACTGCTAAGCTGTGTGCATGGCGAGCACATATCCATGTGCATCTTGGGATCTACAAATGCAAAAAAGTAGCTGCCCTACAAGGCTTTCATGTGCAGTCTACTCACGTCTACTGGAGATTCAAGTTATTTGATGAATATAATATAAAATAGTTCCATATAAAAGAACTAACAAAAGAACTACCTCACTGCAACAGCTGAGTGAGTGCTGCTGCTGAAACTGTATTGTCATTTTGATTTCTTTTTATTTTTAATGAGCTTACCTCCACGGTAAGGATAAGATCATCTTCCTGACTCAGAATTATTGTTGGGACACTGTAGCCAAACTTCTGCTTTCTTCCATTTTTCTGTCCTTTGCCTATCACAGTAAGTACTGAATTTTTGTTCCAGTTAATTGTAATCCACTTTGCTTATATTACTGTGACGTCAATTTGTGCAACTCAAGTAAGGCATGAGGTTAACTTTGATTTTTTTCTTCTTTTCTCTTCTTGGAGCCTTATTCATAGGGAAAATACTGTTAGAAACCACAGCCTACTCTCTTTTCTTCCGCACAGATCATCTTGTAAGAATTCCCTCAGAATTCCCCTTGGTACCACAATGCACAGGCAGGAAAACAAAAATGAGAGTTGGCAAATTGAGATGATTTATTACTGTTCAAAGTTATTTGTCATCTCTTAACACTACTCTTTTGTTTATCCTCTTTTGTATTTTTTTGCCCTCTTTTGAGAGCTAGTGAACAAAGATATTGCTTTTGTTGTTCATCTGGACAACCTTATTTGTTTGGAGACTCCTGACAGTAACATTAGACAAATTACTTCCAGTAAGGAAGAGTCTTAGTGTAGCCTTGGCACTTAAGTTTGGCTGATGTGAGGGAGGAAGGAACACAGTTACTGGTAATGGAGCTTACCTTAACTTCTATTATCCATAGTCTAACAGGATGGAGAAAGCTTTCATTTGTCAGTCCGTAAAATATCATAATTAAGGATTTCGTACTCATAGATACAGACATTCAGGGGAAAAACTGAAGAACTTTGTTGTTGTCATCTGCTTTCTCATTCAGAAAGAACTAAAAAGTGCCTAACATGTTTGTCCTACACATAAAAAGGTGGTCTCATTCCTCACCAGGGTAGTACTAGCAAGGGGAGAAGCAACAAATGACTCTTCTGGATAATCTACATCAAAAGTTGTTGCTGTGGGAAACAAACTTTTTTTTCCCAAAGCAACTGCTATCTTAACAGCAACAGTATTTGCTAGCATTACTTATAGCTGATTTGCATCCTTCCTTTTTCTTGTTTTATCCCACATGTACAGGATACCAGATACAAATGGAAAAACTTCAATAGAACTAAAAAAAAAAAAAAAAAAGCAATTTGGCTTAATGACAGATTGCCTGATTCATGCTTTTGAATATTTTTTGTCCTTAGAAGTAATAATTTTCACAATCTAATGAGATTGCCTGTGTTTGTTTCTGCAGGGACCCTAGACAAGCATGTAGAGCTAGAGAATCTTGTGGCCAAATTCCTAGGTGTGGAAGATGCTATGGTGTTTGGCATGGGATTTGCAACAAATTCAATGAATATTCCAGCACTTGTTGGAAAGGTGAGTACTTCCTGATGAAACACGCAAAACTATTGTTTAATTGTTTTAACAACTGCTGTAGTATTCTGGGCTTGTATTAAATGGAAAGGCTGAACTGAAGAAAAAAGCTTGGTATCAGAAAGGCAAAACAGCTTTCAGCATTTCTGATGAATGGATCTCTGGCCAGCCCTTGCAAAGAAAGCTGGTGGCAAATGCAAGTCTAAAGATGAGGCCATGTGACAAAAGTTTGGTTCTTGTTTGGTTCTGAAGGAATCTTATCTCTAATTTGGAGTACCATTGGAGTACCACGATGCAAAGACATGGAAATGTATAATTCCACTCATCACAGCTCCTGACGCAACTTGTTCATATACCATGATGTTGGCTGGGAAAATTGTTCTCTCCGATTCAGGCAAATGCGAAGCATTATTTCCCCTTTGATGGAGGTGGAATGAATTCACCACGTGATGTATGTTCAAGATTTCTTCCAAAAAACCTAGCTAGAGGTGAAGTCATTTCCTCACTATTGAGAAAGAATCCAGCTTTTGTAAGCAATTTCTAACGTACTTGTACGCAGTGATTGGGCTGGAGAAAATGTTCAGCCACTGAGGATATGAACTTCAATCTACTGTGGTGCTGGAGAAGTAGTCCAGTAATGTCCAAAGAAACAGTTAAAAACTAATAGAGGTAAATTTATGAAATCGCAGACGTGCACAGCAGCCTAAAATAATTTTCTCTCGCTTAGCTCTAAAATGTTTATCCCTTAGTTAGCTGGCCTCGTGTGGAGATGCAGGCCTTTGTCAGAGGTGGGATATTTAGGTACAAGTGACATGAAGTTATTACTGTATTGTGTAGAATATAATTAGTATATTCTAATATTACATGTTATTATATGGTGTTATGTATTGCAGATATTGTGTAGTTGTCCTATATTTGCGAGATTTATTCCTAAATTTTCCTTATAGTTAAATCTAGTAGCTATATTGTCTTGTCAAGATGCACATGTCTAACTCTTACTGTTATATCAGTCTTTAAGCAGAATTGTGTGGATACCTCCAATCCTAGGCACAATCCATGTTTCCTAAATAATATTTATTTAGCTAATATTGTGTTGTCCTTGTACTGGATAGTGAAGCATCACAGCATAATATATACAATGGAAGACAGAGCTAAATTAGGGCTCCAGCTTGAATTCAACTGAGAATCTTGTCTCTCATTGATACAGCATACTAAATTATTTTTTCTGCATTTTTTTTTATTCTATAAAGAAGGTTTTCAACTGAGTTCATTGGTGAAACATACACTGCAGATAAATTGTATATAAATTTACCAGAGAAAGAGTAAGATTGTGTCTAGTGCCTTGGCTCTACTTAAATCTTAATGGCAGTCTCAATCCATCCTGATCTTATTTCAATTATCAAACTGCAGATGCTAGTCCAGTTTCAGTATCAGTTCCTCCTTATGTTAATCTCATGCACTTTCTGAGAATGTCTGAGAATCTGAATTTTGTTTCTGCCTGTCTTTGTAGTAGTTCTTTCAGAAATTCCAATTCACGTGTAACATTGTTTCAATGCTATATGCATGTATGTATTTATGTATATACAGACATAACTGTATGTTGAAACACTCACATACACACTTGCAAACAGCTTCCCACTTCATGCAAATGCTTTTTGTACTTCTTCTCCACAGGGTTGCCTCATTCTAAGTGATGAATTGAACCACACTTCTCTCGTTCTTGGTGCGAGGCTTTCAGGTGCTACTATTAGAATCTTCAAGCATAATAGTGAGTATTGAAGTTGGAAATGGTTTGAGATGTGAACATGTCTGTCTCTAAGGCAGGAGCACTTCCTTTTAGTGCATGCTTTTCTTTCAATTCCCAGATCAAGTTTTTATCCAGGCACAAGGATTAACTGTTCAACACTGAGTGATCTCAGATGGGGGAGAAATTGGCAGTGTGAGATTGCATTTGCTGTTGTGCAAGGTCTGGATTATCAGGTTGGACCTTCATTTTTGAAGGTGTTCAGAGAAAGGCAACAAAGCTGGTGAGGGTCTGTTGCACAAGCCTTGTAAGGAGTGGCTGAGAGAGCTGGGATTGTTCAGACTGCAGAAGAGGAGGCTCAGGAATGACCTTATCACTTCCCAAAAGTGCCTGAGGGGAGATTGTAGTGAGGGGGGGGTCAGCCTCTTCTGCCATGTAACTAGCAGTGCAAGTAGATGGAAGGGCCTCCAGTTGTGCCAGGGAAGATGCTGGTTGGACATCAGGAGATATTTCTCCAAGAGAGTGGTCAGGCACTGGAATGGGCTGCCCAAGGGAGGTGGTGGAGTCACCGACCCTGGAGAGGTTCGAGAAACATTTAGATATTGTACTGAGAGACATGATTTAGTGGGAAATACTGGTGATAAGTGGATGGTTGAACTGAATGAACTTTCAAACCTTGGTGATTCTATGAAATCTGAAGTCTTAACCTCCTTGCTGTCTTTTTTAACATGCTGAATGACTGTGTGCTGCTGAAAAGGTTTTGTTATTGTCACCATAGCAAAACAGTACAAATATACTTAGAAAAATATGATCTGCATTTCCTGCCTTTGTTTCTAGAAGAGTCACATTAACATGGTGTACCTTTGAAACTGTGTCTCCGAATTCCCAGGTGGGGAAATACCAAAATGCAGATGATTACATTAAGATAACCATCCCAAATAATCTTTGAGGTATGATTTTGGTATAGAAATCATACTAATGCTGAACATTAACTTTGCAATCATGTAATTATCTTATAAAATGCTCATAGTTTTTAACTTTTATTTAGCTAATGATGCTGTGGTCACAGTCAGAGACATTGTGATTGGCTTTGATGACAAGAGTTAGTTCTTTTCCTTTATTCTACTTTGCAAATTTCCTATTTATCACCACTGCAGCCACCAGGCAGTGATTGCAACAGAGATTAAGAAGTTAGAGAATGGTGAGGAATGAGAAAAGAGCTCTGACTACCTTTATTAATAACTAATACGGTCCCTTCTATTATTGTGTTGTGTTCAGCCCTGAGGTGAGCAAAAATGAATTATGTATATGCTGTAACAGGCCTAAGGATCTCTTGAAATGAAAGACACACTATAATTATAACATAAGATGGTGTTGCAATTAATATATATTCATAATTTGGACAAGCAATATTTTTTGAAGATCATGTAAGAGTTAATGATCATGTGAACCAGAATGTTTTTACAGAAGTAATTATTCATAGATTAGATAGTAAGATGCCCCAACTTGGTCCCCTTCTGTGTAGATACTCTAGGCATGGCTGCAGTACTAGCCTACTCCCAACTAGAATCCCCTGCACTTTGTGAAAGAGAACCAGAATATCCTTCAGATCATCTTGTCCACATTTTTAAGCACAAGTCAAATCATACAATCCATTTCAGGTACAGCTGTCACCTGCCATCATCAGCAAAGGGGAAATTTTGTTTAATAGCTTTTAAAATCATGTGCAGAAATACATTTATGTGCCTTTTGCTTTGGGGAAAAGAGTTTGTGTATTGGGGAATGATTGCAGTGGAAATGATAATGCGGCTGTCTTTGTAGGATGCTTAGTTTCACCTGAAATGAAGTATACAGCATTGCTCGCTCTGGATTCATCCAAGAGTAGTATAATACAAGTATAGGAAATGAATTAAGGGGACACATAACCTAAACTTCCAGCTTGTGTTGGGGGTTTCTTTTCAGTTAGGTAGGTGCTCGTTTGTTTTGCTAGATCAGTTGTGTTTCTTATCATCCCAGATGATTCATCTCACCTCTGTCTATATAAAGGTGTCCAAAATGTCAGTCAGTGTTAGTATTGTCACTGCCATGCTTACAAACAAGGGAATTAAGCCATTATGCACATCGTATTACTTGATGTGAAAGAAAGGTTCCTTTGCACCTTAAGTTAACACTTGAACACTAGGAAATGTTAATTTCAGCATTAGGTAGTCAAATGTTTTGCCTTTTCAAGATCATTCTCTGCATTGTCATAGAAAAATTCGATACCCTCCACCTTCCCCCTTTTCATGGAGTGGGGATTTATGTGTGTTGTTTCACATAGAAAAGTCAGTGATCCTTTAAGATCCTTGGCTCTTGGCATCAACTGGACAATGTTAGTGTGCCAAAGGCTTTGCTAGGGCTCTTTGTTGAGAGGCTGGAACAATTATCCTGCAAAGTGCGGAAGAGTAAATCTGAATCCTATTCCGAAAAGGATTAGTGCTTAATGTGCTTTTCGTTCTCATTCCTAAATGCAGAGCCAAGTTCGTCCACTGCCATGAGTTGGCTCATCTCCTTTAAAGCTGTGTCAACTCACACTAATACTGTCAGACCTAGGATTGCCCTATGCTAAAGAAAACAAAGGATTCCAGGCAGTAGCACCACTGTTGTGATACATACCTTCTGTGTAGGAGGGTCGAAGTATAAATTCAAATCAGGCAGCAGATTATGAAATCACCTTTTTGCTATTAGATTCCATCGTGGGGAAGCAGACTCTTTACACATTCCTTGTTGCTTACATCAGCCTCTTTTAAAACTGCTGAGAGCATGCATGGTTTGGCTTTGACTTCCTTAGTTATGTACGTATAGAAAAGGCACTGGAAGAAGAGTGAGGTGTGAATGTTTCGTGCAGTTACTGTAAATGATTATCAAAATGAGGATGAATAATTATGTAGCAATTTAGCAAAGCAATGGCATATTTTCTGAAGCAGCTACTTGAATATAGTACAAATGAAAGGTGTGTCCCAGTAACTTCCCTTTCTGTGGTGTTTTCTTGACACTGTAAATCTCTCCACTCCATTTTCCAACCTGTTAAAGAAAAATTATTTTCAAAAACATAATAGGAAACTGTGTTCTATGAAAAAAAAATAAAATCACGATCTAAATATTTTACAGAAAAGACTAAAAACTGCTATTTATAGCTGTTACTGATGCACATCCATCTTCCAAAAGTTATTATATAGCTATATCCATAAGAGTGAAAACCATTTTATTTCAGAGTGTATAATCTGTAATACTGGATCTCTTTGTCATTATGCAAAAGTGATTAATTACACTTATTAGTTAGCAAAGAAGAAATCTCTACATATTACATTAATTATGTATAATCTTATTCTTACAAAAGTTAATTAGACTCTATTTCAGTCAGTGGGTGGCTTTCCTAAAGCATTGCAATTTTCAGCCAAAAAATTCTGAGTAGTTTTTCAAGAGCTGATAGAATTGTTAAACGTCTATGCTTCTCCTAAGTCTTAAAAAAAAACCTCCTTTTTTGACAAAACCATTGCACTGTGAAAGTGTGTGAGAGGCTTTCAAACTTTAAAGTGTATAACAGAGCAGAAAATAAGATGTGGATCATTTTTGTTTGGATGTAGGAATGTGCCCTGCATCCCTACTGTGGATGATCAATCCCTTCCTTGCAAACAGGCAGGGATTTACAGGCTTGGGTTGAGATAATAGACTTACATGCCATCTAGGTGAGAGAAATTTAGGAGAATACTTGATTCCTGTCACGAAAAACACCTGGCCTACCTTCCCTTCCTGTGGCTCTCACTAGCAATGTTGCTAGTCTTTGTCCTGCCAGGGTCGCAGGAATATGCTCTGTGAAGAGTGGGGTTAGGGTTTATGGTTATTACTGTTTATTCTTACTGTTATTACTACTTATTAAAAGGATCAGAATTAAGAGCCTTGTGTTACTTGCTCATACAGCTCATCCTGATTTGCACCAGGCTCTTTCACTGGAGGTATGGTGAAACAAAACCTTCCAGGAGTGAGCATAGCTGTAGTCATTGCTGTTGCTGAGGCACATGTGAGCATACCCAGCCTAGTCAAACCTTAACAACGGGGAACAGCGGGGTAGCACAACCCTGAGGAAGAGCACAGCAGTGAGGTGAGGCCAGTTGGTGAATCACAGCTCTTCTGTTTTCTGAAGATAGTCACTGTAATGGCTGAAACCTACCATCCACTCTCCCATTCGTGACATTCACACAGCAAGAAGGGAAGCTTTGGTCTTCTAAAATTTCTCCCCTACATCACCCAGCCTTTTTCCAGCCTCACTCAATGCCACTTAGGTTGTGTTGCCAATGAAAATGAGTTGAGGTACAATGGTGATCTTTCAGTTACCTGCCAAATCACTAAGATGCTCACTGCTTAAAAATAAATACTCATTTATGCATTTTCTTTATCTTTTTGTTTATTCTCAATATATTGTTCTGCAGGGCCCTTCTGGCAGCAGAAATAATTCTCTTTTAGGATAGTATTTCTTAACCTAATAGAAGGTACTTTAAGTCTGAGTAGATATAAGTTGGAATTGATGACGTTAACATTTTGCATTATGGGGTCCTTTCCAGGCGTAGAATGACCAAGAATAATTTTGTCTGGCCTGATACCAAAACCCTAAATATGAGCGTAGACCTGGGCACTCTTCAATTTACACAGTAGTGTTTTTAATGGGCTGAAATTGTTCCCGCTTGCCCATAAAGCATCTGCCTTCCATCTCCCCTGCCGTGGTGTGGGCACCATGTTGGCATTTCCTGGGCAGTGATCCGTCTAAGAAGCTAGAAAAGAGAGGCACTTACACCCCTGAAATGCAGTGGTTCCAGCAGCACGGCTTAACAGCCAGTGTGCAGAGGGAGAAGGGCAGGAGATGAAGACATCTTCCTGCCTCTGTGGCAGTAGCAGCCTTGTTCTGTTTCTGTTTCTAAGATGATTTTTTAGTAATGTAATATACTGTAAAGCCCTTTTTCAGAACCTCCTGCCTTTTTCTTGGCTAA